AATAAAATATTAAAGTTAGTAACAGAACCACTGAAAATTAGAGAAATGAAGAGAGATTCATGTAACAGCATTATTTCACCCATTTTCTGTTTTTACACGTTGCTTTCTGACAGGTACAGTAATAGTGCATTTTATTGCAAGTGTCTGTTAGAAGATCTACAGCTTACCTTTACTCCTAATGAAATGAGTTTTTATTATTATTATTTCTTGACTTCTAAGCATTCAGATTGGCAGAATTAAGAATGCTGTATGAGACTAATGTATTTTTTCCTAGTCATAACAGTCCCTTCAGCTTTAGAATATTTAAATTATTTTAAGTACCTTGTTTACCTGGTAGTATGCTAGAGAGACTGTAACGGAAAGGGCAGAATACAGGATTCTGGGTAAGAGAGGAGTGTATTTATGACTTCCAGAGGGAAAGGGACTGTTATCAGAACAAAATAGGATGAGGAGAAAATGGGATTTGAGAAAGTGGAGAGAGTAATTCCTATGAAGAAAGGAAGGCAGAAATCCAATCAAGAAGGCATTGTTCAGCATTCTGACAGACTTAAAAGGAAATAGTAGGCACTAGGATAAAGACTGGGCTAAACAAAGAGAAGTAGGGTAAAGACAGCAGGCAGAAAATGATTTTGCCTTCATTTTTCTTTTCACTTGATAAGAATGTGATCAGCTCTGCCATTAGCTTCTGTGTGTGCTTTTCTGTTATTTAACTTTTTTTTTCTGATTCTAGATCTCTACCAGCCAGCAATATACCGTGTCTCAGAAGAGGGCTCATTTGAAATTGTTGATGAGAAAACTACAGATAAGGCAAAAATTCTAAATGTAAAAAATATGACAGTAAAGAATGTTGCTAATTTATGTAGTAGAATTAATTTTGAGTGTTGCTGAGCATTCAGACTCAGCAGGTACCTAGAAATTCTTCATTACTGAAAAAAAGAATGGATGCCCAGATACTAGCTTTCAGAAGAACTGTTTTCTTGACCATCTGAAACCACTGATACCATAAACTGCCTCCTGTGCACATCAAACTTTAATAAGTCTGGTAGAGGTGTTTTAAATTAATCAATAATTGGAAATAGAGCAATTGATTTCATTAAGGCTGAAATAGATTCCTCTGTCTACACCTGTCTTCTGCCCCCCTCCTATTCAGGACTGAATTTTGCTTTACAGGTGTATTGCCCATGAGTTGAAATGTGGTGGCTGACATTTAGCACCTTTTCCCCTATGTTTTATTAAAGAGGACAAATTTTGACATCCTTGGCCCGTTCTCTGTTGGATTTGAAAAGGCTTTGTAGCTGTATATAATGTATCGAGGGGCTAGAATACACGTTTCATAAGCTACTAAGTTTGTTATCAGTTGTTTTTCTGGAAACTTGCTGAAATTTGTTGCCACAGTCTTTGCCACATATGTACTCTTTTCCTATAGGTGCCTTGGATCCCCCTTGACCCTTTGAACCCAAATCTGGAAAGGTATCCAGACTATGCTCAGGCAAAACCTTTGCAGTGTACAGTGAAGGCTGGTGAGATGTTATACCTCCCTTCTCTCTGGTTCCACCATGTTCAGCAATCACATGGCTGTATAGCAGGTAAAACACACAGCATTTCCATCTCTCTATTTGAATTGTGCTGACTGTGCAGTTAGCTATTCCACTACAAAACAACTGGAACCAAAGGTCCTTTTTAAAAAATCTTCTACCTCCTTTCAGGGAGAGGGAACAGTTTCAGCAGATGTCATGGGGTTATCTCCTCACAGTGGTTTTTGTCTGTAACGCTTAGGATTGTCAACAAATGCTAGAGACATAGCAGAAGAGGAACTAGTTCACTCATCTGGAGAAAGATAACTAATCCGGTGATCATGATCCAGTTTTAGCATAGAGTGGAGCAGCTTGTCTGCCTAGCTGGCCAGCTGCAAAGTTGGCTGTCCACCTACCTTTCACAAAGAAACTGCATGTTGTCCCTGCCATTGTCGCACAGTAAAACAATTTTTTAGGCTGAAAAGGAATCCAAAGAAGGTAAGAGATTTAGACATGGAAACAGGCACAACACAGAAGCTGCTCTGTTGTAAAGTGAGCTGAAATCTGCTCTGTCCAAGATACTTGCCTTGCTAGTAACCTCATGCTCATGTCACTGTTCCACAGAATAAATATTTGTATGACTTATCATCTCTTTTCCTCTTTCCCCACCCCCCCAGAAAAAGTTACAGAATTTCAAATAATTAAATGCCGCTCTTTTGGTGTGTGGGTATATGTAAAATACTCTCATTATGTCCTGTAAGTTTTACAAGGTATGAGGAAGGATTTTTTGCTGTTCTCTACCTGGAGTAATGGCCTCTGCCTATACAAAATAAATGAAGTATGTTGAGCAACATCAGCATCAGTATTTGCGTAAGACTGCAGTTATTGCAGGTATTTACTTCAGTGTTTGCAATATGTGATAAAAAGACAAACCAGCAATAAATCGGTATTTCTGGTTGTTTTTCCCATTGCTGCTACATCAGTCCTTAGAGACAATCTAGAAGAAAACAGGATTGTTTCCAGTGACAAGCCCTCTAGCAACTTTATTTTCCTTTATCTTTTTGAAGTGCCAGAGAGTTATCTTGTGCATTGACCATTTTGTCTGTTAACTGCACTGCAGTCTGTTTACACTTGACAGTCAATAATCTTTAGGTCTAGTCCAGTGGATGTCTAACATAAATCCATCTCCAAGACCACTTGGAGATGTACTGTACCACTTGGATATACTGTTTGATTTATTGTTTATAAGCAGCTATGACACCAAAACTAAAAGGAGAAGCAAATTTAAAGCTCTAGTTGATGACCACTGTGAAGTGGTAGTGAATTCTCTCTTCTTTATACACTGAGAGAAAGAGAGATTCATACTCTGTGTAATTAGTGTAAGTAAATCTTGGCCTAAATAGAAGTAGACATTTTTTATTCCTAAATATTTTCCAGCTTCAACTCCAGGGAATCCCAGAATAGAATTGGGAGGAAGAGAGGGTTTGTTGGGGTTAAGACTGAGCTGTATTGGCAGTACTGTTAAAGAAATCTCCTTTAATGTTTGCTTGCATTATACTTGGCTGTAGTCAAAGCTTTGCTTATTTCAGAGGTCAATCAGCAATAAGGAAAAGCCTGTGCTGACTGAGCTGTCTAATCCAGTCACGAATGTGTTCATAAATTCTTACCTTCTGTCTTTAGAAATGTTTTTCCTTTTTCTTGTCTCCTCAGTGAATTATTGGTATGACATGGAATATGACCTAAAGTACAGCTATTATCAACTTCTAGATTGTCTCACAAATGCCGTGAAAGTGTTATAGCAGAGGTGGGACACTCGAGCTTGTGATCTTCCTCTCTGATGTGGTACAATCATCAGCATCTGTGACTGGAGCAAAATGGGACTCAAGCTAGTAGAACTGAACATTAAGTTATCCACAACAAAGCCTGTCAAACAGACCACAGCTGTGTCTTTTCTGCTTTCAGAGTCCAGGTCAACTGCCCATTTTTTATGATTTGAAGGTAAAAGGTTCAATAATAGCATGTTTAGGTCTTCATATTTTGCTTGCTGCTGGTAGGCAAAGTAAAATTTGAAGGAAAGCAAGGGCTTTGGAAATCCCCATAGACACATATGACTGTTCCTTCAGATTGTTTTAGTGACAGATGAACAAGAAAGACTTGGCTTGGCCCACATCAGTCCAACGTGTACCGTTAGTTTAAGGCAAAAGTCCTTTCTGGTTGTAATTCATAAGTTCAGTGGCTGTCTGTGGTGTTTTGATGATGAACAACTTCTGCAATAAAATTCACTTGAAAAGCTTATTTCTGTGCTAATTTCTGACTGTTTTCAAACAGTGTGGTCAGTGGAGAGGATAAGGGCATGTTAGGTCAATCCTGGCAGTTTTTCATGTTAAGCTGTGTATTTTTGTTACCAGCTTTTATTTCCTCACAGTTTTGTTGCTAAATGTGGCTGCATTCTCTTACGCATTCAGTGGTGATTTTGGAGTTGTGTTTCCAGGTCTGCAGTCAATCTGCACATCACTCATGGTCTTGTGGAAGAATTTGTGATTTTGCAGTTTGTCGGATGGCTGATCAGGAGAGTCCTGTGACATGAACTGCTGCCAAACACGTGGTCAGGCAAGTCCTGGGAACCAGGAGCCTGTTTCTGCAGCCTTAATCCACACTTGTGTGTTTCTGCTGAGGAGGATGAGAACATTCACACGACGGAGACTTACAGGGTAGGACTAGAATGCTATTAAGTGCACAGATACTGCAAAAATGCAGTACTGTTGTTTATGGTAACTGAAAGTTGTTTTTTATTATCAGATTTTTAAAGATTCTTAGAAACAACAGGGATACAACAGCGAAAAGAATTTACATGTATTCATCAGGAAAATGTGGTAGTCTTTTGATAGGATTGCTGATTTTGAAGAGAAACACAATCATTATTCTTTGACTTAAAGCCTGAGCATCATTTATTTTACCATGTGGCTCTTGTCCAAAAAATGCTGAAAACTTGAGAGAGATTAAAGATGCATGGTTTGTTTCATGGCTAGATTAAAATGTTGGAACTACTTCAGATTTGCAATTTATTTGTGTGCCTTGATGAAAGCCCCCAAATCCCATGACACTATAAATCAATACTACAATCAAATCTAAACTTTCCTGCAGCCTCAGGGGGAGATGTGAATGTTTCTATCTGTTGTTTGAAGTTCTTGGGTTTTAGCTTAGTCTCTGTACGACCATGAATAACATGGCATGTCATTTATTTGCAAGCTGATTGTGTTTTCGCGCTGCCTCCCGGGTGTGAAGCGACTGGAAGGACTTGGATCCTGAACTACGTCTCCCAGAAGCCTTTGCTTGGCTGAAGGAAACGGTCGCAGCGTTTCCTGACGGACTTTGGGCACAGACTTTAAGCCTCAGAAGTGACAAGCAGCTGACATTCCCCTTCCACGCTGCCAGTGTCTAGCCAAAAAACCCGAACCCCTTTCCCCCAGGGAAGAGCCCGAATGGCAGTGCAGGTGGCCATTCTGCCTTCTCCCCGGTGTCTCTTTGATGACCCCATCCAGATCTGTGTGGTGGGTCTCCTGCCGCAGCAGGCAGTCACGCTGCGAGCCCGCTTGCTCGACGAGAGCGGGGAGCTCTTCCAAGCCCATGCTCGCTATCGGGCCAGCAGCAGTGGAGAGCTGGACCTCGCTCGCTCCCCGGCGCTGGGCGGCAGCTATTCCGGAGTGGAGCCCATGGGGCTGCTGTGGTCTCTGCAGTCTGAACAGCTCTATAAGCGCCTGGCAAAGAGGAATGTCCTGACCCCGTTCTGTGTGGACTTAGAAGTGTATGATGGCCACGGGGACATGAGCCAGTTACTGGGAAAATGCACCAATGAGCGAAGGTTTTTAGGAGAGGGAGTGAAGAGGATTTCAGTCAGAGAAGGCCGTCTTAAAGCAACTCTCTTCCTCCCTCCTGGTGAGTTTGAATTCCTTGCTGGCTTTCCACATGTGCTTTGCATCAACTCTATATACAATGCAGCCCTTGGATGCTCTCAGTGATCCAGAGCAAGTCTTCAGTTAATTGTTCCTATGGGCTCTGTGTTGATCTTCCCAGCAGGATAGGTGCAAGCTTTGCCTGGGGAGATGCAGTCCGTGTTGCAGAGGTAGTGCTGTGCAGCAAAGGCAGCAGCAGTGATACAAGGTGCCTCCTGTTCTCTGCAGCTGAGCAAGTGAGGGGACCTCTCATGAAGTGAGGACTCAATCATGGAACATAATAGAACTGCAGGAGGAGAACTGAGAAGCCCTGAAGCAGTTAGCTAGGTAAAACTGAAGTCTGCTTTGATATAGGTCAGTGCTGGTATTTGCGAATGTGTTTCTTAACTCAGAGTGTACCCTGTCCAGAGAACCTGTAGTACAGTTACTGAAGAGGTGAAACTCATGCAGTGATAACTGTTTGTTCATTTGTTCCAAGTGGCTTGAGACCGTCTAGTCCAGTTTAGGCTAAATTTGATGGTGGAATAAAGATCCCCAGAATAGGAATTTCCAATAGCAAGCTCTTAGGAGAGAGAAAAGGAATATCCAAATTAGGCAGCTAGGCAGCTTAGGGAGAGAGAGAGAGAGAGCGAGAGGCTGCAGGAGAACTTAGCTTTATCGTTAGACATCAGAGAATGCACACTGCAGAGAGCATTTGGCAACTAAGTTTCATCATTCTGCTGCTCACAGAAATACTTGGGTGTTTTTGATGGTAGTCCATACAGTAAACTTGAACTGACATAGGCTTAGGTAGTAATCATGTCAATTAATGTCTGTGGTGAAAAGAAACTAATTGCAATGATTGTGTCCCCTCGGAATGGGAATCTACTTGAAAACTGTCCAAGAGTGATTTCTTGTCAATATTATCTACTATCCTGATGTGCGCTGACAGTGTTACTAAAATAACAGCTATAGAAAATGTTCTCTATGAGTATATACCTTTCATTGCAGGATCTGGTCCGTTCCCTGGGCTTATCGATTTGTACGGATCTGGAGGAGGTCTTGTTGAATACAGAGCAAGTCTTCTGGCTAGCAGAGGTTTTGTGACACTGGCTCTGGCTTACATGGCCTTTGAAGATCTCCCTGCTATGCCACAGGTTCTTGAACTGAGTTATTTTGAGGCAGCTGTAAATTTTTTGCAGAAGCAACAACAGGTAGGAGACAAACTATGATGCTTTTCCTATTAGGAACTGTCTTCCAGTTCCCTAGTTTGAAATGTTATATATGCCACTGAGTGCTGCTACGTTTCTGAGATGTGGAAGGACAGGGCACTTCTGAAATACAGCCTGGTATCAAGCAGTGGGGGCTAGGAGAGGGAAATGTGTATGTACCAACTCCAATTTTGTCATGAGTAGGATAGCTGTTTACACAGCTCCTTATAATAGTCCATGGAGTCGCTGAGCAAACTTGTTTTTGTGTAAGATTTTACATCAAAGGAAACAAACGTTAACTTCCTTTTTTTCCTGGAATATCAAAGGCTTTTGATCCTGAATAAGTCTCAGGGACAGCACTAAAATGTTTTAAGAGCAGGAGCTTCTACAGTTTTGGTCTTGGAGAGTATGTCATGTTTCAAAAGCTGAGGCTGTTTTTAAATGAGCATATGGGTTGAGAAGGACATTTATAGCAATTTTTCATACTATAAAGCAGTCAAGATAAATTAAATGTCAGTTAAACTTTGAATGGGATGTTACTTAGGTGTTTTTCATTTGACAAAGTTGGCTATTTTCTTAATTATTTTCTACTACATAGATGTGCAATAATGAGCCACTGTGAGACTAATGCTATTACAGGCCTTGCTATTTGCCTTGTTCCTCAGAAAGCTCTGAAGCATCCAGAGCATCTTACAAGACAGATTACAACATGAATTTGGTATAGAGAACTTTCACCACAGATAAGTTGAATTAAACAGTTGGGTTTACTCAGGCCTAAGCATAAAGCATTTGTGTTTCAAGATAAAATAGAAAATAGCAGGTCAGATATAGGAGAGTATGAAAAAACAGTTGTGAGAAAGAAAGTCAACACAAACCCATGAAAAAAGAGTGGTTTGCCAAAGCGGGGCAGAAGAAAGATGCTTGGAGGTTTTGAAGTCCAGAGCAATAAAAGAGCACAGAGAGCAAATCTTAAGATGAGACATGGAGGGAGCCAAGAGGCTTGGTCTGCAGAGCTCTTCAGGAAGAGAAGATTGGCAGTCACAGGAGCGGGAACGTTCAGGAGCTGTAGAATTTATAGTCACTCTTGAGGAGACACAACAAAGGGATCAAAGTGGGAAAGATGTAAGCTCAGCTGAGAGAGGGAAAGGGTGAAAAAGTTGGATGAGGAGTGAGGAAGTTAAACATTTTATCAGCCTAATAAATGAGTTGTTGATAATGGTTGTTTCATAACTGTGTTTCAGGTGAAAGATACTGGGATTGGCGTTTTGGGCTTGTCTAAGGGAGCTGATCTAGCCCTTTCCATGGCCACGTTTCTACCTGGCATCAAGGCAGCTGTCAGCGTTTCTGGAAGTGGTTTTAATTCTTTCGTTCCTCTGCGGGGTGATGGTTTTACTGTTCCTCCCCACCCTTATGATTTGGGAAGGATAAAGTATGAGTCTGGCCTGGCAGATTTTAGAGATATTCTAGATGATCACAGGGACCCAGAGACTTGGAGTTGTCGCATTCCCTTGGAGAAGTCCTTGGCTAAGTTCCTCTTCCTGTCAGGATTGGATGACGCAAACTGGAAAAGTGAGCTCTATTGCCAGGATGCTGTTCAGCGCCTTCAGCAGCATGGACGGAAAGTGGAGTTTTACTCTTATTCCGGAGCAGGACACCTCTTGGAGCCCCCGTACTTCCCGCTGTGTCAGGCCTCCATGCACAAAGTGCTTGGGTTGTTTGTGCGGTGGGGAGGGCAACGGAGAGAGCACGCCAAAGCCCAGGAAGATGCTTGGCGTAGGATTCAGGCCTTTTTCTGGCAGCACCTGATGGACTTGGAGCTTCCCAAGAGCAATCTGTAGTAGAAGAGTGTCAAAAATGCTGTCAGGATTAGTATTTCATTTCCCATTGTATTAGGGTCTGAGTCTTGGAAGCACATTGAAAGTTCCCTAGCCTACCTTCTTCTAAACCACATTATGGCATAGTTGTTTATTTTCATTCCACAAATAATTTCTCACTTTTTAGTTGAATTTTAGGTGTGTTCTGCCCCCAGTTGTGCTGTGGATTGGCACCATTTGATCTGCCTGAGTGCCATAGATATCTGAAAAATTAATGTCCTGTCCTGAAAACTGATTTTGTGCTGAGCTATCTTTGCTCAGAGAAGTGTCTTGTCCTCCACTTTAGGAGCTGGAAATACTCTCTTAGGGGGAGTTTTCTGTTGGATTGGCCAAGATTATACTGTTGGTTAAGCTAGATGTGACCAGTTGCTTCTTGGGACAATACATTGGTACGTTATCTCACCTTTTATTTGGGTATATCATTTTCTCACATCACTGGGCAACAGGGATGTTGCAATTCTGATCTAAATGAAGTAGAGACATTCTTCTGACTTACTCGGAAGTGCAGTTGATAACTTTTTTTTTTTTTTTGGTCATACCTCAAAAATGGAGAAGAGATGAAGGTTACACTGTTTGCATTTGTGGCTGTCTCCAGATAGGCTATATACCAGGCTGCAGTTTTCACTGTGCTGCTCAATAAATACAATGTGCATGGATGTGTGCAAAGTTCAGCTGAAATGCTCTGAATGGAGCCCTCAGCTGCCTTTATGTCTATAAATATACGGGCGACAACCTTGGGGTCACTTTACCTCTTGACAGTAAGAAGAGTGGTGCAGTTTGCCACTGACCAGGGCTCAGCACTGTGCCCTGCGCAGTGGTGAAGATGAAGGTGATAGTTGAAGCTCAGTTTGTCCCTGCTTTGGGAGGAAGAATAAAGCTGAAGGTTGAAGCAATGGCTCCTCAAAGCGAGCAGCTCGGGCAGTGCATCTGCCCTTCAGAAACGTCGCCTTTTCTGGAAGATGCTGGACGGGCTCTGCTGTGAGCCAGGAGAGAGGGGAGGTCTCTCTCTTGCTCGGCCGTACTGCTTCACCATCTGGAAATCCGCTCATCACTTCTTTCTGTTTTTCTTGGTTGGTCCAGGTGTGTCTATGTTCTGTACCAACCCTACTTGTTCCTGATGTTTAATGAGTGAGTAGGACCTGGCAGAAGGTCAGTGTATAGGAGCAAGACAAATCAAACATATTTAAGGAATTTAATTTGTAATAAGGAAACTTTATTTTCCTATTTTAATAAAACACTCAAAAATGAGGGTAGTCTACCGTGATTTTTCTCATACTCGGGGCATACTGCACTGTGAGATTCCCTGTGAGATGTGTCCTTTTCTTTTTACTAAGCACAGTGAGGCTTATGTAGTACAGTGTGCTCTCCAGCCCGTGGGGTAATGTTAATGCCTTCTGAGAGGAGGAAGACCTTTCTCAGCCTTTAGTGGACAGTTGACAGACCTATTTTTTGTATTACAAAATTGTGAGCTGCTGAAAAAATATAACCTTTATCTGTAGGAAACTCTACCTTGAAGGGAAAAATATTTTCCATCAATAAATCAACAGCCACTCAATGATGCTTTCAATACACTCATTGCTACATTCAGCAATCGTATTCAGGGAGAACAGTGTTGAAACTAGAGCATGAGGGGAGCTGGCTGGCTCTATGGATGACAGTAGCACAAATGACTCTTTGTCATGTTGCTCTGGAAATAAAGATTCCCAAACCAGTTAAAAGCCCTTTATTTGTCACTTGGATGGCAGCCAGCAGGAAAGATGGAAAAGGCAGATTTAGTTGAATAAGCCTGTACCATATACAAACAAAGAAATATGTCAGCCTGCCCAGTTGCAAAGGGATTTTTCTTTAATCGGTTGTCTTTTTTAGATTAAACTCAAGTTTGAAATTTAGCTTCAGGAAGTAAAAAATGGAGGGAGACTATTACCATATAATGTGAAATGACCTCACTTCAACAAAATTTCTTGTACTTGAGCATGTGCTTCAGCATTTTGCTGAAGACTTTATATATGAGTTGTTTCTGCTACTGAAGACAAGCTACAGGCAAATGGGGCTAAGATCACTTTTTTTTTTCCTAAGTTACTGGCAGTTTTACTAATTGCAGCTTCCAATGTCATGGTATTTTATATAGCTTCTCCAGGCAGAGTTTTACTAATTGCAGCTTCTATAATCATGGTAATTCATAGAGCTTCTCCAGGCTTATAGAGATACGGAAAGCTTTATTCAAGAAAAAAGATGAAAGTTATAATTTAATTAAGGTAATTGACTTTACACTGCAAAAAGAAAGTTATTACCAAGCATAACTGATAAAACTATAATGAAAACTGGATGGGAAAGCTGTTCGTATAATTTGCTTGTAATTGAAAAGTTATTCAGATAAAGTACAACAGCAAAAGACTAGCTTGAGTCTTTCAGGAAGATCTCTGCTTGATGCCTGCATCAGTCATTCTTTTGTCTCGCACTTTGCAGTAAGCATCTGCTAAGAGAATGGAAAGAGCTTGTGATAAATTTCAAGAAACCGAGAAGTGATCTCCCAACATGAAAGCTCCTAAGAGCAAATATACTATAAGGGAATAATATACCCGACAACGCTCTTTTTGGTCAGGATGATTTTCCTATCTTACCTGAACTCAAGAAGCAAAAATGATTGTATATTTGTTGGCATATCCTTAACATTTTCCCTCTTTGTACTGTTTTAACATGTGGTGTCTCTATATCTGTATAGAGAGTACCTGAAGATAGGAGAACTTCTTTGTACTGTTTTAACATGTTGTGTCTCTATATATAGAGAGTACCTGAAGATAGGAGAACTGGTCAAAGTTGTGTGAAGAATGTGTAACCCTCAGTTTTATGTTAGTGTTCTCTGAAGTGGCTCAAAGACTGTTTGAAAACTGTGGCACTTTTGGATATAGGTTGTGAAAGATCCTTTCCTGCATCACAGTGAGTTTCTTTGCATAGTTCTAGTTTAATATTTACCTTCCAAAAACCCTGTTGAGAAAAGTTCTGGGTACTCCTAACCAGGGGTAACAGTATGAAATCATTTGTGCACTGCATGGAATAACGACTTCCGTATTTTTCAGATCTCTTAGGAAAAGCTTTCGAGGTTGACTTTCAAGGTCATGAGTTATTCCCCATACTTTACCATGTATATAATTAGGCTGTATGTAGCTGAGGAAAAAAGAAACCCCCGCAGTTCTTGCTCAGTGGCAACCTAAAGGTACCAGGTTCAGTCACACATTTCAATGTGAGTTAATACTGCTTCTGAAGCATTTTTGTGTGGGCACAGTATAATACTTGGAGGAAACTGCAGAATAAAAATAGTTACTGCATTTATTAGTGAAAAGTGGCCCATGGGTACAGGAGAGAGAGAACATCTTCAGTGACGTGCCTCTGTGAGCACTGCTCCCCTGCAGAGGTGGTGGGTGTTTGAGGCAACTGTGGGTGTTCACACATGCGCTCTGTGAACAGCAGCACCTTCTTCCCCAGGCCTGAGATGTCTCCTTCAAGGCCTCCTTTTTCAGGGAAAACGCGGGTCCGCTGGTGA